GTTAGAAGTACTATTTAATGGATTATGTACTTAATCCTTGTTCTTACTACTTACAAAAATGTAATTCATGCTTCCCACTAAAATGTTTATATCAAATACTTTCCTATTTAGATTGATTTCTTTTAATATCATATATTATTATACTATATGCCCCAGAGATTGGAGCAAAATACTCCTGCAAATAACACATAAAAGATGAGGGTGAGGGGAAATAAATACAGACTATAAAATGTTTTGCTTTTTAGAACTCAAATTACCATTCTGTTTTTTAAAGTGTACTTTTCCTTCTTAGTTGCAGCAAGAATTGTCATTTTCTTTCTCTCTTTTTTAGCTCTTAGTTTTAAAATGTGTACGTACACAATGCTAACATATATGTTAATGTATATTGCATTAAATGACTTTTTTCCCTCTGAGAAGACCACAGTCAATTCTCCCCTGAAAAACTCATCCTGTTATGAACTCCTACACAGGAGTTGTCACAGGCTAGGCCAGCGATTCACACTTTTATGAGTCTGAGGTTTTATAGGTATAGTAAATTCATTTGTAAAAGAATGTTACTTTCCTAACTCAATTAAAATCACTGTGCCCCCCCCTTATCCATTAATATGTTAGTAGTGAATTGACTCAAATTAACTGTTTTAAAAAGAGTGGAGTGGAAATCAGAGATTGAATTTGGTTGGAAATTAGCAGCTGAGAGATGAAGGTGCCAGGATTTTTATTTAAATGTGGTACAACAAGACTCTGTCAGTAAAGCACATCATTAGAATATTGCGTTTAGAACTGCTAATTTTTCCTTTAAAATGAGCATACAGTCATGTTTTCATGGACCATAATAAATTGCCATTGTGTTGCCATTGAGTTTGTTTTGCTTTTTTGCAGTACTGGTTTGGCAGTCATTCTGCATTTTCTCCTTTTCTTTTTTCTTTTTCCCCTTCCAAACTTACATTTTTTTTAGTAAATCCCTAACCAAAACCAGTTCAAAGAATGTTATTTATTTCGGTCTTAGGTTTAGCATCTTTTGCACCGTTTTCTTGCTTACAGTAGCAAGACATTTGTAGATGACTCTTGGTTTCTATAAAGTGCATAACAGTATTTCCTTTGTGGCAGATGGATTTAAGACTTTTAGTTCTCAATAAATGTAGGTTTACAATACATAACTTTACAGGATTTGTGTTGTATGTAACAGGTTTGAACATATTAACTCAGAATTCATCTGCATGGCATTTTCAGCTTATTCAGGGCCCATGCCAGTTTTTTTAAGTAATAGGGGAGCGTTGTGATTGATAGCAACAGCTCAAGGCGTGATTTTGAATAGAAACAAAGGGTTTAGAACAGAAGGTGTCAAATTAAACTTTGTCAGTTTAAAAAGTAGTAACATCCTGAAAGTTTTACTAATTTATTTACATGTGGCTACTGTTTATATTTTGCCCTCTTTATATGCAGTGTAATGTTGCTTGGCAAATTTACTACATTTAAAGTTTACGTCGTTCCTTGTGCCATTTTAGTTTTCTGAGAATGGATCGGTCTCATTATTTTAAGGCTGTTAGGCCCCTGTCTTTTCTGCTGTTCAAACAGTTGTGATCTAATTTAATTTGGAGAGTAGTTCCCCATTTGTCCTGCATATGGTCTTATAGTACAGCAAGCTCCTGAGACCCCCTCCTAAAAACAGAATAATATTCACATTTTGCAAAAACCCAAAAAACTGCTTTTAATTCCCCATCTCCCTCCTCCCAGATAAATCTATATTGTTATCATTTAAAAACCAGCATAGTACTTTGTCAAATACTACAAATATCCCGAACTCATCTTCATCTCCCCAAGTTCCTCTGCTCTAACAATATCAAATGGAAAACTAACCTAGAAAAAGGTGTTGAAGAATTAGAAACCATTTGGCTCTTTAGTCACGTTCTGTAAAATAGATCAGATTACTGTCATCATTAATAGAATCACAATCAATAGGATTTGAGGCAGTCAGAATATTCCAAGGTATTTAAATAGTATTCGAATAAATTAAACTTATTTTTACCTGTGCAAATTGGGGAATGTGCCAGTTTATTTCTACATCGACAAGAGAAAAAAATGTGTTGATATGTCTGTTTTCTATTATTTCTTAAGGAGTATACATATCAGGAGCACTCCCCTCCCCTTTGGTTTTTTTGGAATACCCTTGTAGAACTAACAGTCCCCAGCTGCACCGTTCAATATTTTTCTAAGAAGCATCTGATTTCAATGTCTTAAAAATCCTCGTGTCTCTTGAAAGGCTAGCGGAGACATGTTCAACTTACAATTCATCAAATTATTTTTAGATAAGGAATTAGAAGTATTATTTAAGGGCAGGGGTTAATAGCAAGCTACTGGAAATGTTATGTTAGTCATGAGCAATTAATAAAAATAAGGATCTGTCTCATAAGTGTAAAGACACAGAAGTGACAATATAAGCAAAATATTTGTTGAATGAGTCAGGGCTCTTCTTCTGAAATATTTGTTAAACCAGCATGAGTGTGATTGTTTAGGCATTAGCCATCATTATTAGCCATTTTAAAAGAACTAATGATTTTCTTTTCCAAAGAACATCTGTGATCCACATGTTTCTTCCCATATATCCAAGTGCTAACTGAGCTCTGCATTACTTTAAAAAGTTTCTAAAGGATGTAGAAAATCATTGGAGATTTTCAGTTCTCTCCAAGCAGCTTTTCTTACACGAATCATTCTTAATTTAACTTTTAGCAATTTTTAGTTACAAGCATTTATTTCTAAAAAAAAAAAAAATAGTTCAATGTTTAGCACTTATTGCAGCAGTAGAATACTAGCTAAGTTTAAAGAAGAAAAAAAACTTCTCTGATCTTACTTGAGTCTCCTGACTTCTTGAAAGGTAAATAAAACTGTACCATTTTTCACATTCAGGCATGGGGGCCTGTTGGCTGTCACAGCTTAAGGATATAGACGTGGAGGGGGAGGGAGAGCAGAGAGAGAAGGGAATCTGAACCACAGTTAATACTCAAGTCTCCAGGAAGATGTGTATCTAAAACCTACCCAGCAGCAAAATTTAGAAAGATGGTATAACGAAATAACTTAGATGTAGGAAAACATAAGTTTTCTTTTTTGGCTTAATCCAGATAGTAAATATAAGAGATAAATAAACATTCCCATGACATCGTATACAGGTGGGTCTCAAATACTCAGATTCAGCATTGTAGTGAGTATCATTGTCATATAAGTAGAGCAGAACGATATGACAGCATTCTGGGAGTGAGCATAAAATGGCTATGGTTAGTTGGGGAGCCTGCTCCAGGCCTGTCATCACAGTGATAAGGATTTTTTTCAGCTGATACTCTTTCAGGTAAATGTTCAGTCTACTACTTGCTCTCCTCACATTATGTACTCAGTAGCATCAAATGTGTGCATCACTGCATTTGGATGACTGTACCTGTGTATGTATTTGTTTAATTGAAAGACCTGTCGAGTAGAGGATCAAACTGTGGTAGAGGCTGGGGGTGTAGCTCATTGGTAGGACACTTAGTATGCACAAGGTCCTGGGTTCCATCCTCAGCACCAAAAACAAAAACAAGCATACCTGTCTTAGAATAATTAGTAGGTCTCATATGGTTCAAGGAGAAACAGGCCTGGCACTTTTTCACTGTACATTGTAATCAGAAGAATTTTCTCTCAAATGGTTCGGTTTGAGAAGGGAAGCTTCTAGCTTCTGGACTCATTCCCCAGTAAACAACAATATAATAGGTCCTTGGCAAGATCTAAAAATCGCATTAAAAAGGAAACTATATTCTGCCCATTCTCATGTAATTAAAATTTCTAAGAAAGCCCTTGTTTTTAGTTAGGGTCCCTAAAAGCAAAGCCTATTATGGGTAGGGAATCAGGTGCCCATGATTTGATGAAGGCTCTGGAAGGAGTGAGGGAAAATAGGGAGAAAAGTTTCATTGAGAATGTGACCTTAGGTGGTAGGAGAAAAAAAGTATATGAATGGCCCTAGAGTACATTGAGGTGTAGAGTGAGCAGTCCTCTTGAGATGGCAGGAACTTTGTAGCACTGGGTCAGCCACGCAGGGGTGAGGAGACCAGTAAGGGAGTGGAGCATCCCCATCTGGCATGGGTCCCAGACATTTCTCCAGAGCAGTGTGCAGCTGAGAGCTGTTAACTGACAGCACAACGGCTAAGGAGTGGCTTCCTTGGCCAGTGGAGTTTTTCTTCTCTCTGTCCTCCTTACTGCATGCTAGTGTTCATCATGGCAGCCAAGATGAAGGTTTGAGATGGTGGTTAGGGAACGTGCTGTCTTGGACCTCTCAGGTCTTAATAGCTAATACTGGGATCAAACATTGGGCCTTAGGAGGCATCAGAGAGGTTCAGATTTGGGCATTCGTTGAATGTTTCCTTTTCTCTTAAACCAGGAAGCCTATTAAAATGCTTGCCTGACAGATCATATGCTCAAGCTGCAGCAGGCAGAAAAACAAAGGACTCTGGGGTCTCTTTCTGGAAAGTTCTTTCTTGAAAAGTTCTTCTAATGTCCATCCTAATCTTTATGCCTAATGTCCTGTCTCTCCCTCTCGCTCTCTATATTTCTTTGTTTCCATCTGTATCTCTGTCACCCCACCCCCACACAAATACCTTAGTTTGTTTCTAAAACATGTCCTGTCACTCCTTAAATACCTTCATTGTCCTAGATGGCTCCAGAGCACATTTATCTGTGCTTTTCTCCTATTTCGCATGCTGCAAAGTCTGTGATAAATACTTCTGTTGCCCTTGGAGTCTGAAAACATGTCTGTCCTTCAAGATGTAAATAAGAACATTCGTCAGAAGCAGAACCTTCCTCCTCCACAGCCACAACTATCCTCTCTGAATAGGTTAAAAGGAAAAACAAATTAAAGTGGTTGAAGTGTAAGCATATGAAAAAGTTGATTCTTAGGGTCTTCCCTTTTTAGATCTTAATGGAAAATGCCAGCCCCACCCCACCGCCAGCAACTGACATATTATCCCCTTGTCTCTAAGGGCTGGTTGTGCGAGCTGTTGCGCTGGAAGGAAGATCCATCTCCAGAAAACAGGACCCTGTGGGAGAACCTATCCATGATCCGAAGGTTCCTCAGTCTTCCTCAGCCAGAGCGAGATGCCATTTATGAGCAGGAGAGCAACGCGGTGCATCACCATGGCGACAGGCCGCCCCATGTCATCCATGTTCCAGCAGAACAGATTCAGGTTCGTTTACCTTGGCCAATTCAGTACAGCACTAAGTAACAAAGCTTTAAACTTAGTGAGGAAATTAGCGTCTCTCTTCTTCCCGCCAGTCTAAACATAGGCTTTTTAGCAAGAGATAACAGTACACTGCCTTTTTGCTTGGGGGGATAAAAGGAAAATGAACACACTTTTTCTACCATGTGTGTTGTGTTCATCTCCCCAACCCCAAAGTGGCAGGAATTCCCTTTCGCACTTCTTATTTGGCAAGTATGTCTTTGTGAGGTTTGGGTTTTGTGCATGAGAGCTTAGAAGTTTTCTTGTTTGTAAAAGAGAATCAGAATTTGAAATACCACCTATTTCTTAATTAATGGTATACTGCCCCCAAGGAAAGGAATTACTTGTGGTTCTGTAGAGGAAGTTTGCAAAGTCACAATTTTATACCTTGGCTTCGGTCCAGTGCGAAGAGGGGAGGGAAACCTATTTGGCCTCTTGCTTTCTGCGTCTTGGCCCTTCCTTCACCTTGAACAGCCTCCCTACCCTCAGCTGCAGGTCATGGGTGAGTCTTGTCTGTTTGTCTTTCCTTTAGAGCCCCTCTCCCAGCACCCATGGGAAAGGAGGGTCTAGAGGCGTTTTCTTGCCAGGCCTGCCGACCCCTGCACCATGGCTCGGTACTGCTCCTCAGGTGAGCAGGCACTGGTTACCTATGCCAGCAAGAAAGGGAAGCAGAGGGGGTGGCTTAAAGACCTGCTCCCTTGCTCAAGATCTTCAGGTGCAGGCAGGATGGACTACCCGTAACTGTGGCCAAGCACCCCTGGACCAGCAGGTTCAACCTGGAGGTTCCATCTGGTGGTTTGATGGTCTCTGGTCGAGGGCCTCCTTCCCCATGAATTAAGTTGAGGAGTTCTGGGATCCGGTAGTTTGTTGGGGCTCTTTACAGCCTCAGTAGCTTAGAAAGTGTGTTCTAGTTGAAGTTGAGCTGTGTATCTTACTTCTGTTAAATCTGAGGGGTGTCTTTAGCTTTCTCCTTTAAGGGAAAATGCCACTGGCTTTTTGGAATCTTTGTTGAATCACCTGCATTACTTCTTGGTATTGCTATGGAAAAAAAAAAATACAGATATGTGTAGCTAAAGTAATAGAGTTATCCATCTACTAGGAAAAAAGAAAAAAGATCTTTGAATGTATTCAAGATAAAACAAATTGAAAAAAGAGAATCCCTTAGGGTATCAAACACTAAAATAATCATGAATGCCTGGAAAACTTACTGTTTCAGCTAAAACAAAGGAGAGAAAGATATATGTTAAGTAATAAAAATAGTACTTGTTTGAAAATGTAAATTGTTTTTAATAAAATTGCTTCTTAGGGGGATAAGAGGCAATTTTAACTCTGCTTAAGCACAGTACAAATATTCTAATATTTTGCCACTCACTCAGGTTGATTTGCTTTGTAGATAAGAATTATGGATATCAAGAGTACAGTAGATGTGTGTGTCACACATTTGTTATGTATAATTGTGTACGGAAATTACAGTGCATATACAGCTACTAATTACAAAAAAGTGTCTGTATACACTAAATTTAAATCCTAATCACATCTGAATTTACTATAGACAAAACAATTTGCTAGCCAGCATACAGTGAAATGAACCTTTATTTTCGGGTAAGAAAAAAAACTTAGCGTCAGCCTAGTACAGTTTGGTAAGAAGTCGTATGTATGAAATTGGAGCTGTCTGGGAGATGGTTCACACATGTGAGACTCGAACATGTTTTGGAGAGCCTGCTGCCTAAGTCCAGGTGCCCCCTTCTGGTTTTGCTCCGTGTCTTAGCCATGCATTGGAAAGGGGCAGAACCTGCTTCTTTCCCCGTGGCTTTGTAGCTTACCTTTCCAGAATGTCTTTGAAATCCTTGCTTCTCAATCTTCGTTTTAAATCTTCTGTTAATTATTGACTTTCTAATTTGCTGTGCTGTCTTTGCCTTTGATGCGTGTCCATCTGGAGAAGTTTATGGCTCTGGTTTTCCGAATGCTGAGTTTTCTTCTCCTCTACTGATCTCTGATAAGTGAGCACAGCAGCACCTGAAAGCCGCACTATTTCCTGTCTTCCCACTTCATATCATTTTGATTTTTTTTTTTCCTAAATGCTGTAAACAATTTAGCTGGTCTGCTTCTGACTGCGAACCTGTCCCTGTCAGAGGTGCTCTGTGTGGAATGCACACCGCCGTGTTCTAATTCTAGCTGGCTTTGTGGGGAGCGGGGAGCAGAGCTCTGACCATCTCCTTGTTTCCTTGCAGCAGCAGCAGCAGCAACAGCAGCAACAGCAGCAGCAGCAGCAGGCACCACCACCATCACAGCCACAGCCACAGCCACAGGCAGGTCCCCGGCTCCCCCCACGACAGCCCACTGTGGCCTCGCCTGCCGAGTCCGACGAGGAGAACCGGCAGAAGACCCGGCCACGAACCAAAATTTCCGTGGAGGCCCTGGGAATCCTCCAGAGTTTCATACAAGACGTGGGCCTATACCCAGATGAAGAGGCCATCCAGACTTTGTCCGCCCAACTTGACCTTCCCAAGTACACCATCATCAAGTTCTTTCAGAACCAGCGGTACTATCTCAAGCATCACGGCAAACTGAAGGACAATTCTGGCTTAGAGGTGGATGTGGCAGAATATAAGGAAGAGGAGTTGCTGAAGGATTTAGAAGACAGTGTCCAAGATAAAAATGCCAACACCCTTTTCTCGGTGAAACTAGAGGAAGAGCTAGCCGTGGAAGGCCACACAGACATTAATGCTGATCTGAAAGACTGAGATCAAAGTGTTATTTTCATTCAACAGTGCCACTGGTATTTACTAACAAAATGAAAAGTCCACCTTGTGTTCGCTCAGAAAACCTTTGTTGTCCATTGTTTGGCCAATAAATCTTCAGAAACTTGCACAAACAGGAAAGTTGGGAAGGATAGAACAGACTGCACTAAATGTTTTACAAACTGCTCGGCAGCCCCAGGTGAAGCATCAAGGATTGTTTGGTATTAAAATTTGTGTTCCAGGGATGCACCACGGGTGCGTGCCCAGTCAGCATGATACCAGAGATTTTTTTTTTTTAATTATAATTATTCTGGAGCCTCAAACAAGCATTATAACTTCTGTGGTTATGCTTTCCTTTCCTTTAATTATTTCTATAACACTCCACACTGATCTTTGGAAACTTGCCCCTTATTTTAAAAAAATAAAGGAAAAAAAAAAGAGTTTGTTACTCTATTGTATGTTACAAAAGAACTATAGACTGTGAATGCAGTTTAAAATGACATGCCAACAAATGCCTTGTATTATATGGCACTGCCGTAATTCAAATTTGTTTTTTTTTTATTTTGGAAATAAAAGTTCACTGTAATTTTTTTCATTATCATTGTTATATGATTTTTTTAAGCAAAAAAAAAAAGGAAAAGAAAATGTGAAACACAATTTAGTCCTTTTTATTTATTTGTAGATCCTGCAGCACCCTGTTGTAATTAATTTTTTAGAAGTTTCCGTTAAATGTAATATTGCTTCTCTTGTTACCATACTGATTCTTTTCTATTTATAAATGTATTTTGATGGGCAGTAAAACAAAGTGTCTTAAAAGTTTTAACTAGAGAAAAATGTGCTTTACACAGTTGCCTATAAAAAAATGCTCTATGTTACCCAAGCAATTCATACTATAAGCTTCACTCTTATTGTTGTATGCAATTTTTACTATCATGCAAATAAGCTTAGGTTAATAAAACTAATAGATCACCTTAGAAAATTATGCAATTAATGTGAAAAAATAATTGATGTTTGCAATGTGTCTTCCTTTGGTTTACAATCAATTTTAAAGCTACATCTGTATAAAGTTTCTGTATAAAGGTGTACTTTCTTTTTTATGAGTTTATGGCTATGAAAACACCAGCTATTTTGTTACAGCTGGCTGTTTTTATAAGTGGATCACAATTTTCTTTATGCAGAGATGTTCTGATTAGGAGTGGTTATTGACTGTAACTACACAATTAAAATTGTTTGTATGGTATGACATGGTAGGGTTTGTCTGCTTATGTGAAGTAACTTTAACAACAGTCAAAGGATGACCCTGTCACTTTGGTGCATGTTAAGACTTTCTGAATGACATTTAGCTGATTTTTAAAAAGAGCAATTGAAAAGTCAATTGAAACACGTAAATTTAAATCATAAACGTACTCATTTTAAATAGGTATGAAATTTCACAATGAAGATGGTTATCTGTTCTTTTGCATAATAAACAGGACAGTCAAAAGATTCTAACAAAAGCACAAATTCACTTTCTAGCAGCTTTGTGCTTAGAACGGATTCATCTGCTTTTATCTCACAGTCCTTCGATTATGGCAACACTTTTCCTTAAGCTAAGGTGTATTTTTAAAAGTCAGTAGTAGTAACAGAAAATAAGTGCAGAAAAAATGAACCTCTGTGTAGGAACCCCTTACTAAGCACTTTTTTTTTTGTTTTGTTTTTAACAAGTTATAAGTGGAGAAAATTGATCATTCTGAGCTCATTTGACTGTATATATCATAACTACGCGAAGAATATAAAAATACCACACCTGCAATTTAAACATCTTCAAAATTCTTGCAACATAAAACCTTAGAAAACAGCCATACCATGAAGTAAGGTTCCTTAGTGGTCACAGAAAGGATTGAGGCCTGTTTAGTTTTGGGTTGTTTTGTTATTTATTTTTTGGCTTTTTTTTTTTTTTTTTCAAATTCCGTAAATGTCAATGGGGGATATCTGGGTTCCTGCAGACATAGTTATGCAGCCGGACCTTTTCCTCAGGCCTGGGTGAGCTCATTGGTAGGCAACTGGCCTCTGTATTTTAGCATCAGCTAAAATGGGATTATGGAAGACTCTCAATGAAGCTTTAAAGTTGTGTTTACTTTTGAAGTCCAGCTGAGCTATCCTGGAGGCTGCTGGTTTGTTGCAAACTAGTTTCCAGTTTTTGGTTTTTTTTTTTTTTTTTTTAAATGAGAAAACAAACTTTAAAGTTTCTTCACTAGAGTTCAGAAAAGTAATCATTTGAGCCAAAGAAATTTTTATTAAAGCAAACTACATTTCAAGTATTTTAAAAGATAGATAGTAAAATAGATAGTACTAAGAATAATGTCATTAACTAAAACAATTATCTTGTTTTCCCCAAATTTAAAGTCTAGAATCAAGTAGAATGGATGTCTCTTTTTTCCTTTTTATCTAGCCCAACGCTTACCACAAGATGTCAAATCGGCATGAAATTTAGTGATGTTTTAGAAGAAGGGATTGGTTTGCAAGTAATATTTTCCATTCCTAATAACTTCCAGAATTCTGTTGAAATAGTTTTTGATGAAATGATGAATGTGTGTTGGAAATCAACATAATCTTACTAACAAAATTCTCTTACTTAACTTTTTAAGGTCAGCATGGTTTTTTTTAGTACAAAGCATTTGTTAAGCAAAATTGTTTTCAGGAAAGATGGCACATTTTGGAAAAGTTCAGGTGATCTTCATATCACTCCCCCAATGTCGTTACCACCCATGCCAGTTCTCCTTTTGTTGCCTGTGACTATGGTAAAATTCCTTTAACAAGCTTCATTGTGTCCAAGTAGTTCAGAGACTTTGAAAAGGTAGGCATGACATAGTGCTATGTGCTGTTAAGTCCTGAGCAGAGTCAGGTAGTTTACGGGTAATATTCAGCCTTGAGCATCTGAATCTGTCGTGGGTTCCTTCACTCAGCACTTTGCCACTAATTTGTATTACACTCTGTGGCCGTATAATGCTTACACATTATGCAAAAAATAATGTTGATAGTATCTCCTTGCCACACAATATGCAGAGTTGACATAACCTTTGAAAACCAAGCTAATATGTGCCCTAGTTGTGTAGCACTTGGTAGCAAAGTCTGTACATACTATGTATAAAATGTGTATTGATTAGCAGTTAGTACTAAGGAATTCTGAGCTTAAGTTTTTCCCCCCAAGTAGTGATATCTATATCTAACTGTGCTTATCTAAAATACATAGCCGAAATAGAAAATATTTAAATGGTTCAAGATTGACTTAAAATGTCAATATCACACATTCCCTGATCAAATTCTGCCCTATTCCCTGTTGTTAACATCTGGCTGATACAAAGTTCCTTGGCTGTCACAATATTTTCAATAAATGAGATATTCTGAACCGCCTGGTGATACTTTCAAAGGAGCAATTAAAATGTGTATACCCTACAATGTAGCTGACAGAATTAGGACTTCTGTGTTAAAGCAAGCCAGAAGTTTGCATGACTGGAAACCAACAGAAATCCAAAAATGTTAATCATAAAGTATGAGAAAATACCAATACTCTATCTTACAAATAAATATTTTTTATCTTTTAGAGGGGCATATTATGGATTCAGTGTTTCTTCTGAAACAATTCTTTTAATGTAAAAAGTGGTAACTTGCATGTCTTTTGACAAAAGCTGAACTACGATCTATTAATATGCACATTTTTAATAAAATATAACGTACCCTTATTAAGTGTGGGTGGAAGGTGTATATGTCCAGAATACTATAACTGTTTTACAATACTATATGTTAAATAAAAATAGTTTGGAATTAATGTTTAAAAGATGAGCAACATTTTTAAGCCTTTCTTATATTATCCTACTTAATGTGGAATACATAGATAAATAGCTATATCTCCTAATTTTATCAAAAGAACACTACCAAAATTCAATGACTTGTACCAAGGTTGTGTATTAAGTCATATTTTTCCACTGGCTATTTTCAGCTGCTTGTGTATCTACTGTGAGCAAAAGCACTGGACTTGGGCCCTGCTCTGTATGATAATGGTTGATTAGGTGGCTGATGGGTTACAGTAGAGCCATCCATTTGTTACCTTGCAGAGAAACTAAAGTGACATATTAATACCAAGTTAAATGTTTAATATTATTTCTTTACTGTTAGCCCAATCAGAAACATACGCAATAAGACGTTTTCATCACAGTGACTGAGTCTTTAATTTATGTCCTTAACCCCTTCCAAAACAGAAATGTCCCATTTGCTGCTCTCATTTCCCACTCATGAAAGAATCAACAGTACCTGCAAATCAGAGTGTTTAAGTTCAGATATTCTGATATGTCCTTTAATTTGTTGAGTTTGTAGCAATGTGATACAAATGAACAGTTGGCCAGGACAAAAATTATGTTAAACAACTTCTCAATGTAGGAACCGGTTTCATCTACTCCACCTGTTATCAATTTTAATGTCCACATAACCATCTTACCAGCTCTAGTACAAAGGTGTCCTACCTTCTGAGGCCCCTTTGCTAGTACTGCCCTCAAATGTGTTTGAAATGATAACACTTACAGAGTACTTCATCTTCTGAGGCCCTAACATACCTTGTTTAAAGCTTTTCATTCCACTATGAGGCACTTCAGATAGGCACTAAAATTCCCTCTTCAAAGACAGGGAAGGAAATCTCAAATAGGTTAATTGACTTTTTCAGCTCTGAGGTGGCCATAATAGTCTCAAACCCAAGTTTTCTATCTTCACATTTCTATATTTTCTCTTTAATAAAATCTTTCTCAAATGCAGAAAGAAATAATTGCAATGCACAAATTTCAGATCTATAACTTATATTTTGCTAATATGAAAAAGATCATTAAGCAACCAAAATCAAGTGTATGGAATATTTAATCATGAAATAGTAATCCTCAAATCCTATTGTTCTGGCATGAATTCTATGCATATCAAATGTTTTTTAAAAACATTTTATTATGGAAAATTTCAAATGTACAGGAAAAAGTCAAGACGAAGACTCCTCCCAAGGATTCGTCACCTAGCTCAACAATTGTAGTATTTTTCTATCAATAAGTACTTTGTAAAACTCAGTAAAGAAGTAATGTCTTCAAAAAAAACTACTTTTCAGTGTTATGACATCATCTTATTTTGCAAAGTAATAGATTTCCTGATTTCTAGAGAAAACATTAACACTTGAAATTTCCTTAGCGTGCTAAGAATTTTCAAAAAGCCAAGTTTCAGAAGAACCTGTGAGAATACCACAAATATTTGTGACATGAAAAAACGGAGACAAACCAGCCTCTTTTTATTTATAAACAATACATGCTTTCATATCATTGTTGAAACTAAAGTACATAATTTTCAGTTATGCATGATAAAATATGTAATTAAGCAACATTCCATGGTGGATTAAAGAATTAAGA